GTCGTCATTCTCTACAGACTACCACCTGACTGTTTGCACACTAATCGCTCATGTGCCCCGTCTACATCTCAACCCGATTGACAGAGTCAACGCTTTCGTGAATTCAAGAAACACGACTACTGTCGGATGTCTAGATATGTCTTTATTCTACGACTTGATGAATTGCGAATATTTAATCTATGTGAAACCATCCTGGTTTTCACGAACTCCAGTTACGCGTCAAAGTATTATTGAAGCTTATATCACACTGCTAAAATTGGACCGCCATCCATACAAATATAAGGGACTAACTTATCAATATCTGCTGCTCTCCTTTGCTGAACTGTGTACCTTAAGTGTTCTACCCATCAATCCAATCTCCTGGATTGAGTGAGAATGAATCATAAGCCCATCTTTCCCGAGATAGTCTCATTTACAGTCGGATTCCTAATATCAGTTTCCCTGATAAGTCGGAACAACTGTCTGCTGTTGCCTATCGCCGATACCTTTTCCGTCGCTCTTGCTTTCGCTACGCACCACTGTTCGCGATCATTGCGTAGGCTTTTTATCAGCCTGCGCCTGAGATGACTTCGCTCTTCATCATGTTCAGAGCCAGGTGGAATGAGTTTACGAGCAGTCATCAGTTCGGTGGATGCTACAGAGGTCCACGGCTTCATCCTAGCCTTATGATTTACCTTATTAGCGGTTATCGCTTCTGTTTCCATAGCCTTTTTGATATCATTCCAGGCTGCCTCTGGATGGGAATCACTTACATGGTCGCCTAAATGTCTTTTTAGTTGCTCCTGAAATATATTCGTAGCTCTGTTTTCATTAGGCAGAACCCTTAGTGGTTTCCTTGCGCTGTCTTTCGTACATCCAGTAAGCCTCAAACAAATACGAGCTCGCACTACGGCATGATCTGAATCTAAACATGTGCCCCACAACGAGCGACAGTCCTCTAATGAACCTCTTCCATCGGTGGCTGATGGAAATGTGATCTAGTTGGGTATAGCGTTGTGCCGACTTTGGGGGTCGCCAGGTCAAAAGATGTTTTTCCTTATGCTTAAAGTTAGTGTTTGCTAGAAATAGGCAGTTATCTGAGCACAGTTGCAACAGACGGTCGCCATTAACTGTTCTCTGAACCGCGACACCATAACATCCACCTAAGTGTCTTTCATCTTCACTTAGTTTACCTACTTGAGCATTAAAGTCAGCAGCCATTATTACTATATCAGAGCGCCTAGCTTTTTGGAGGAGGTCCGAAAGCTTTCTTTAAAACTCATCTTTAACCTCGTCTGAACTGCAGTCAGTAGGAGCATAGGCAGATACGATGAAGAGGCAACGGGTGGGTTTCCCTATCTTTCCGAGTCCTTACTGACCCGTTTAGTCGGACTGCGCAGAAGCGACTATCTACTATGATCCAGACTAGAAGAGATTGTTCAGCTCTACGACTCAATGCTATGCCCACTCCAGCAAGACCCCGGGAAGCAGCATCAGGACTTCCAGATACACGAAGTGTAAATCGAGCTGCTTCTTTATTTTGACAAGGTGAAATCAGATTAATAATTTTACTAGGATCCTGTATGCGCGTTTCCGAGGCGCAGCATACATCGATGGCGCGAGATTCTAAAGTCCTAGCTATTGATGCCTGTTGCCCTATTTGACACAATGTACGTACATTAAATGCTCTGACATGTAGTCTATAACGAGGTTTCAAGAGACCAGGAATGACGTTTCGTGAACTTGCATCGTTTGCATTAGCGGTGCAGTCAGATAAGGGAATGTGAGTAGAGTTAGTTCTGGAGATAAGAGAGATATTATGGGGTGTAGGAAGGATTTGATTGTGACCAAATTCATCTCATGTGCTGTTTTGGGTATGAGGGCGGATGTCACTTCACGGCTGTTCATACCATAAAAGAGTATTTCTTGAGGAACCTGAAGAGGAAGTTGGATTAGTGTTGGTCTTAGAGACCGAGTAGCTTGACCACAGAGCCCAAAGAACGACTGCCTCGGGCCGTCAGCTCAAGGCCACTTTATAGGAAGTCGACGTGTTAAGTCTGCTCTTCAAATGGCCTAACCGCCTGAGACGGAAATCCGTGAGGTAAGGTGAGGTGTGAAATTCTTATTGTCGACCTTTTCCAACCCCTTCCTTCCTTGTGAGAAGGCAGCACGCCGCGGATGCTGGTTTTCCGAGGGAAACACTTTACTGCTCTCATGCCCGTCTACAGTCAGCAGTACGACTTGACCCTCAGACCATGAGAAGCTACTTTTAGTCTCATCGTTCTCCAACCCACCTGCCTGGCATGGTAAAATCTTCAGGAACATATGTTCCAGCCAATATAGTTCGGTTGGGTCATCTCGATAGGCAAGCCCGACCACCTCGTCAAGCTAGCAGCTACGGTCGGGACACGAGCATTAAAACGACCAATCACCATTACCATATCAGAGCGCTTATCCTTTTGATGAAGACAGTGATAAAAACAGTCTTCTGAACACCGTAAGCAACAATTCAAGCATATTCTGGATGCGATCCTATCCCTCAAAATGCAGAACGGTGCTTCAGGATTGGCTTGCATCGGCACCCGAACTGGTGACAGGGAGTTAAGTAGTCCAGCGTGTTGACCGCTTCACTCATCTTAGGAGTCTCATCAGTGCCGACGGCCTGGTGACAGACCAAATCTCAGCACGGATGCGGAATGCCCGACCTGCTTTTGCCAACCAACGTACGAAAGATTCCCGTTTGCTAACCAAAGGACGAGTCCACCGCGCATAAGTTCGCTCCGTCATTTATCTTAACAAGGTGAGGTCACATGAATGGCTGTACTAAAATCCCGCATGCGTGTTTCCAAGACAGCATACACCAATGATGCGAGGCTCTTAAGTCCTACCTAAGGTGACCTGTCGTCCTATTTGGCACTAGGTCCGAACAATAAGAGCTTCCACATCTAGTTTACAGAGGGGATTCAGGAGACGAGAAATAACATTTCATGTACTCAAATTGTCAGCTTGCGAAGACCTGGGTCTCTACGGGTTGGGGGATGTTGGTCCCATGAATAAATCTCGAGTTCTTGTTTAGCTAAACATAGACACTTTTAATGTAGTGTGAAGTTGGTTAGCATAGTATGCATTAACGCATTACACAGCCAGCAAAACACTGCACGCTCTTAATATATTCACCCACTTACTCAGTAGATTTAACTGCAGCATCAATAGCCCAAACCTACGTGAACAACATTTATGGACCAATAATTCAAGTCGAAAACAAGTAAAAAAAATTATATTTCACACAAATAATACATCATATCTCTAATGTAGGCATCAGGAAGTAGCCGAAGCACATCTCGCTTTGACTGAGTTTGCTCCCAGATATGAAGAGTATCTGGTTGTCTGAAGCTACAAACACCGTCTCCGCATTCCAAATCAATCATTAAATCGAGTTCAGTAATGTAAATTTGACTAACGATCAGCATACATTTAAAAATCAGTCAAAAACTAATCAACATACTAACTAAATATCTCATCTGAAACACGGATAGCACCGCTTATCAAAGGCAAAACATGACTCATTTACCGTAAACCAGAAAACAACCTGGACGAAGCTGTTCGAACAATCAAGGCAGACAGTCCAATGACCAGTATTGCTCATTGTTACACTAGGAGTCAAAGTTCACCTGCCATGAAGCAATATTCTCTTATCGGCTACTAATAAACGTCCTCAGTGTCACTCAGTTTCCGCTCCAAACATCAGAACTGCTTTGACCTTTGTATTGAAAATCCTGATTTTGGTGTTGATTGATATTTGCTAGGAGTTCCGGATATCTTCCAATTGTAGAAATGCAGCCCTGTAGAACCTTCGGGGTTGCTGCCAGTCCCAAGCCCGCATAAAGGAGGAGGGTTGAGCATGAGGTTGGCGACCCCATCCCACCAAAAACCTTGCCAAAAAAACGCTAACTAGAAAACAAATCAACCGTGCCCAATCACTGGGGAATAAATGTCGGTAGAAATATTCGGAAGAATACTACTATCATCATGGACCTCATCACACTCAATAAGTTCTCAATATTATGCAAAAAACTGCTCACAACCTGGTCTATTTACCTATCCCTCTCTTATCACCATTCGGCTAATGACTTCCAAAAAAGCTTTTGACAGCTTTGTGAATTGCTCTAAATTAATACCATCTGAACATTGATGAAGTCTCGCTAGTCAACACTCGCTTATTTGTGGACACAGAAAACTACAAAGCATTTCATAGTTTGTGAGAATGGTATTTTCTTCAAAGAGCTGACCTGATTGCATTAAACTATCGCCAACCAAGTCGGGATTCCTTACGAACCGACTGCGACTCAGCTGGTATGCGGGATACAGTTGAGCTTTCCTCACAAAAATCAGTTATGCACCACTCATGCAATGAGAAAGCCTTCGACAAATAGGCAATAGCCGTCTCTAAAACACTCTGTTTACGACCAATCAGGAGTGACCTTTAGCCACAAGGTCGAAACTTGCATAAAAGCCAAATAAGATCAGCCAATGAAATGTAAACGAGTTATTTGTAAGGATACTGACCTAGATGCCGTTAATTTTAATATAAATACGCTCGTGCACGTAAATTTTGTGTGCACGTTTCTCTGCTCTAATTGACAATGGGTGGACGCGGAAAAGGTGGAAAGTCTCGAGCCAAGGCGAAAACCAGGTCAGCCCGTGCTGGTCTCCAGTTCCCGGTTGGTCGTGTTCATCGTCTGCTCCGCAAGGGTAATTACGCTGAACGCGTCGGTGCTGGTGCCCCTGTTTACCTGGCAGCTGTTCTTGAATATCTGGCGGCTGAAGTCCTCGAGTTGGCTGGCAACGCCGCTCGTGACAACAAGAAGACACGTATCATCCCACGCCATCTCCAATTGGCCATCCGAAACGACGAAGAGTTGAACAAGCTCCTCGGTGGCGTAACCATCGCTCAGGGTGGTGTCCTGCCCAACATCCAGGCAGTTTTGCTGCCCAAGAAGACCGACAAGGTGAAGCCTTAAGTGCTTCGACTGTGTGGCTTGAGAGCTAGAGAACGTGAAACCGGCCCTTTTCAGGGCCACCACAATTTGATTTAATTTGCTTCATGTTTGACAGGGGTTGAGTTTTCTACTGGTCTTCCTGTGAGTGCAGGCAGTCGTGGACGCCTGCCTGAGGAGACATTGAGTTCACCGTTATTCCGTCACTTACGGGGTAGTGTGGGGACTCGTAGAGTAACCATATATGGTCGTGGGCAGTCCTCGAGGTCGGTTAGTGCTAGTGTAGGCTTTCTCAGCGGTTGTCAATGTTGCACCTAAGACTAGATCCCCGTGTGTGAAGTGTGCAGCGGGTCGTCATTTGGGGCAGAGGGAACCCCAGCGGTCATAGACGTTCGGCTTGTGCACCTATGTCGGACTCATGGAACCGAGTCATTGTCGGTACTCAGGTCGCATGGTCGTTTCCACATGTCGCTGGGTAGCTGTTACTGTCTGCGCTAGTGCTCGTCATTCTCCGCTAAAATTAGATTTCATTAGTAATCCTCGGGGTTAAAATTAAATGTTTTCTCTCGTATGAGGTTATTCTGTGCAGCTCACCAATTTTATTATATTACTAATTATAATTATGACCTTGTTCTTACGGATTACAAGGGGAAGTTTGGGAGGTCAGTTGACTTGACAGGGGTTCGCAAGCCCTTCAGCATCTATCCACCATTATAATTATAATTATGATAAAAACTTCACCACAAATACTGCTAATCCTCTTCGCCAAGCGAAGAAGTGTTTTTAATTCCAAACAATGGCAATTGCTTTAGAACCTACAGTCTTTAGTAATCAGTTTAACAATTGAAGACAATCATATGGGTTCGGAATATGGTTCCACGATTTTTAAAATGTTTTATACAGTCGAATGAAATGGTTCGGCGGGAGATGGAACCAAAAGCTAGTACATTGCCGACGCGTTTATGATTCGCCTATTCTAGACTAAACTCTGGTCGTGGGAGCAACACACGTGAACCGGCATCCCTCAACAGCCCTGAGACTTATTTCGGTGTGCTTATCTTGTGTTTCTGTTATTGGGTTGCATTCTGTTCTTTCGTAGTTTAGAAAGTCAAAACTAGAGGTGTTGAAGAGTCCAGAAGATTAGGATTTGAGAGAACACAGAATAAATGCACCTGCGCCATTGCAAACGATTTTGAGCTATGTCATTCAGGGTATCTAACCATCGATTATTATCATCTCGCGGACCCCAACCAGGTAGTCGACAACTACCGATATGGCTAAGTCCACTCGTCAATGACTTCATGGATTTCTGCCATGTTTTGGTTTGGCCGACCCTAACTTTCGTCCAACCTACTCCTACACCACCAAAGATAGCTCGTCGAGGCAGTCGGTGGTTAGGCAAACGCAACACATGTCCCAACCACCTCAACTGATGAAGTTTCACTACTTCATCTGTTGATCTGCCATTCTTACCTAGCACTCAGGATATACGAGCAATGCTTCGAAGACACCTATGATCAAGAACCAATAACCGACGAATATCTTCTACTCTTAGCGGCCATGTTTCACAGCCATAAAGTAAGACAGAGCGAACTACTGCGCAGTACACTCGTCCTTTAGTCAGCAAACGGATATCTCGCCTACGCCATAAGTGACGCAGGTCGGCAAAAGCCAATCGAACCTTCTGTATCCGTGCTGAGATTTCGTCAGTCACTGGGCCATCGGCACTGATGAGACTCCCTAGAAATGTGAAGCGATCTACACACTCACATGCACAATCAAAAGAAATAAACTGAATGAAATTTCACCATGATTTTATCACAAGATTTTCCATATCGATAGAGACTGGACTAAACCATCGATTATTATCTAGTGAATAAATGTAATCACTGAATATTTTGCTGTACAAACTGTTAAGTGCCCGTGCTATAAGGTTTTCTACCAGCGTTTTTACACATTTTTTGGTGATAAATATATGACCACAGGTTTTCTAGTAGAAACAGCCACAATCATAACCTGAGTTTGGAGTCTTTCGTTAACATTACTCAAATTCAGACTTGGTTGTGTGGATACATTTAATTGTTTTCTTCTTTGAATCTTCAGTTTGGTAACTGCTAAGAAGAGCTCAGGTCTAGGTGACTTTTGCTATTACATGTTGGTAATTTCTTTACAGGAAAATCATGATCGCATTTTCGTATTTCATATATGCACAGTGATACTTGCTGTTCTCCAACTAGTCTTCAGCACTTTTACTTTCCCAACTTTATTCTCCCTTCAAAGGTGAATCCAAGTTACTACATAAATTGATTCCTCTGTGATTGTCACAAGAATACTTGTGTCCTTTCTTATAGATTGGGACAATCAGTGATTGAGTCCACTCGGATGTGATTACGTCTGGTTCCCAGATCTCCGTCAACCAAACTGCTAAAACTGGGCCATCATCCTTAAATATCTCGGCGGTCAGTCTATCATCGCGATGGTGCCTTCTATGGGACAATGATGTAGACATTCAAGTTTCCTGTATGCTTTTTCAGTCATTTCGGTATATTCATTGGCAAGTTTGCCTACACCTTATCAGATAAACTTACTCAAACTAAGAAAACACCTGGGAGTTAAATGTGAACATGTGAAAAGTCGCCGAAACCTCTGCGATTAGATATAATATCAATCATATATTTAGATAAATATCAAATATCAAATAGCAGTTTCTGTACAATTGAATGTCCCTTTTTATTGTTGTAATATTTTCAGGCTAATATGTAATAAATTTTTTTAAGTTTCATTTGTATTTTTATGTGCTGTAATTGGCGATATTCTTCGTAAATCATACGCAATCAACAACCAATCTATATGTTGAACGACAACATACTTATTCAAATGCCTGGTAAAGAGAAATAATCCGTGATAATCTATAACATGCAGCAGTCTGTAAAGAGTAAAATTGACGAATATTGCTGGAAGTGTGTCGCCTATTTATACTATTAATCGAACGAAAACATCAGTGAAACATGAGGCGACAAACAGAGGTCAGAAAATCACCGACATAATGGACAACGATTTTATCATCGAATCTCCAATGGAACCACGACTACGAAAAGTGTAGTTAGATATTTGACTAAAAAAATCGTGGTAAAATTTCATTCAGTTTATTTCTTTTAATTGTGCACAGCTTAGGTTTGAAAACATTCTTCATATTCATGAAAATAAGGAAATTGAAAGTAAGTTTTGAGTGTGTACTGTTCAATGAGACATACAAAGATTTAGAACAACACATATAAGCGAACAATATTGTTTTCGATTAGATCGTCATCAGGCTTTACTCTCATATACATGAATATTTATATGAAAATGTTAAACCAATCAAGGCCATTTTTTAAAATGTGATACAGTTTTTCGTTTTGACATTCTTATCGTTCATAATGTCGTCATCTGTAGTACTACAACTGTTATCGCTATTAGAGTAATGATGAGTTTGATTAATTTCACAAGTGTTGAATAGCTGTTTTTAGTCTCATCGTCCTGCAAACGACCTGTCTGGTCTGGTAGAAACAGAGCCGTGTTACGACGATAAAAATTTGGAAGTGACCATTAATGGATTTCATTACGATATAACCACAAAATGGAACAATTAGTAACGAAATGTTTAAGGCGAATAGTAATCAAGAGTTAAATTATTCCATTCTTCATTGAATATAGTACAGAGATAATCGGAAAAAGATGTTTTTGTCGATGAAACCATTTACTGACGCCAAATATATGTATTCACGGTGGTCCAACAAGAGTATCAGTCTACGTAAGAACAGAATACAACCCAATAAAGCATCAGCACCTGAACTAGTGATAGGCAGTGAAGTACTCGAGCGTGTAGATCGCTTCACATTTCTAGGGAGTCTCATCAGTGCCGATCGCCTGGTGACTGACGAAATCTCAGCACGGATACAGAAGGCTCGATTGGCTTTTGCCAACCTGCGTCACTTATGGCGTAGGCGAGATATCCGTTTGCTGACTAAAGGACGAGTGTACTGCGCAGTAGTTCGCTCTGTCTTACTTTATGGCTGTGAAACATGGCCGCTAAGAGTAGAAGATATTCGTCGGTTATTGGTTCTTGATCATAGGTGTCTTCGAAGCATTGCCCGTATATCCTGAGTGCTAGGTAAGAATGGCAGATCAACAGATGAAGTAGTGAAACTTCATCAGTTGAGGTGGTTGGGACATGTGTTGCGTTTGCCTAACCACCGACTGCCTCGACGAGCTATCTTTGGTGGTGTAGGAGTAGGTTGGACGAAAGTTAGGGTCGGCCAAACCAAAACATGGCAGAAATCCATGAAGTCATTGACGAGTGGACTTAGCCATATCGGTAGTTGTCGACTACCTGGTTGGGGTCCGCGAGATGATAATAATCGATGGTTAGATACCCTGAATGACATAGCTCAAAATCGTTTGCAATGGCGCAGGTGCATTTATTCTGTGTTCTCTCAAATCCTAATCTTCTGGACTCTTCAACACCTCTAGTTTTGACTTTCTAAACTACGAAAGAACAGAATGCAACCCAATAACAGAAACACAAGATAAGCACACCGAAATAAGTCTCAGGGCTGTTGAAGGATGCCGGTTCACGTGTGTTGCTCCCACGATCAGAGTTTAGTCTAGAATAGGTGAATCATAAACGCGTCGGCAATGTACTAGCTTTTGATTCCATCTCCCGCCGAACCATTTCATTCGACTGTATAAAACATTTTAAAAATCGTGGAACCATATTCCGAACCCATATGATTGTCTTCAATTGTTAAACTGATTACTAAAGACTGTAGGTTCTAAAGCAATTGCCATTGTTTGGAATTAAAAACACTTCTTCGCTTGGCGAAGAGGATTAGCAGTATTTGTGGTGAAGTTTTTATCATAATTATAATTATAATGGTGGATAGATGCTGAAGGGCTTGCGAACCCCCGTCAAGTCAACTGACCTCCCAAACTTCCCCTTGTAATCCGTAAGAACAAGGTCATAATTATAATTAGTAATATAATAAAATTGGTGAGCTGCACAGAATAGCCTCATACGAGAGAAAACA